GCCCCCCCTGAGAGGCTGAGAGGGGGCACCCATGAGGGAGGCTCTTTTAATATTACATCTGCTTGCATTTCCCTTCCTCAGGTCAGGCACAGTGGCGTACCTAGGGGGCAGTAGTCCTGTTGCCCCCCCCTGGGAGTTTCAGACGGGGCACTGCCCGCCCGCCTGGAAAATACAAAATTAAAAGGAAACTACGCTTAAAAAGTAACACCTGACAATGACAAAGACTAAGGATTTGTCTGAATTCACTGTTAATACAAGGAGAGAAAAGTTTTAGCCTTCTAAAGAGAATACTTCATTACACAAGATGTACTATGACGGAGAGCAGACTTAACGATCTNTCAATTATGAAACCAGCCTATTTCATAATTTGGTTTTCTTTTAACAATAATTTTAAATTTTCTATAAAATGATATTCCAGGGCCCAAAAGGTTGTATAGCATAAATATGTGAAGTACACCTGCAGTATGGAAACAGAACAACAAAATGGCCGTTTTACACTTTTTTCTAGTAAATTCCCCTCCCCTCTAATATATATTCTATTCTCTATGTAGTTAATGAAGAAAGTATTTTTGAAAAGGGACAACATACAGATACGGATGCAAGCAGAGTCGTTTGGAGGGGGGGGGGGGTTATGGGGGCTCAGTCATCCCCCTGGAACAGTGAAGACTGTGATTTCTGGAGATTTTTTGCCCCAACTGGTGCCCCCTGGAAAATTCCTGAATTCGCCCCTGAATGTAAAAGCCTAAAGTTTCCACTAATTTTCTGTTTTTTTTTTTTTGACAAAACTATCTACTAAAACTTTCAGATCAAGAACAAAATTTGTACAATGGGCCAATAAACCGTGTAAATGGAATACAACATTATATAAATATTTACTGTGATATGATGCGATTAAGCCATAGAACATCATTTGAATGGTCTCCTCTATTCTCTGAATAATCTTCAGTTAGGTTCATTGAGAAAAGTTTTTAATTAAAGTTTCTAGTGCTCTCCGATCCTTCATATTTTCAGTTCTCGAGTTGGGGAATATTTTGAAATATTTGATTAAACTCTTTAGAAATCCTTACTCAGCACCCTCACCAGGTTCAGGGATCTGGTTCAGGAAAAGGATATTTGTCATTTGTTTCTTTGCAAAAAAATATATTTTTGAGAAACATAAAATGAAGGAAGTGGTTGAACTTGGCATAGCTAATTTTTTCTCTTGTACCTAGTTCAGCTCCATCTTGCTTTTTATTTCTCAAGTAAAATAAATAACATATAGACAACATATTTATTTCACAGTTTTCTAGTTCTCCTCCTCAGAAGGTTTAATTGTTTGCTTAAACTGAATCACTTGAGACTATAGAAACAGCTTTAGAGCTGAACTAGGTGCATTAATTCTTCTTATATATTTCATCGTAAAAGGTCCAATGTGAGTTTGTTCAAGTTATTTTAAAACAAATTATGTTTCATAGTAAGACTTTAACACTATAACTTAAACACCTGCATCATTTTGAAGTGGGGGGGGTGGGGGGGGGGGGTTGCAAAGAAGTCCACAAAAAATGTTCTTATATTTTTATAACGTATATAAATTAAGGGAATCTAAAACTCTGGGTTTTAACCCCTTAAACCAAGAGTATTGGAATAAAATTAATTTTAAAATGGCCCAAATATTGAGTAATGGAGCAGGAAAGAAAGAAATTGAGATATAAATTGATACATTCTGATTTTTGCCCTAACGAACGAGCCAGAGCTGAAAAAACAGAATGGGATATCCTTGATCCCGATCGGTTAATTAATCTGGAGATTAATAACGAGAGGAGGACAAGCATTATTTAATCTCGAGATTAAGAAAAAGAGTGGTTAAAGCAATAATATCGATATCCACTATTCAAAAAGTATTTGATACAGTTTAACCCGGAACTTTGGAGTATTTATCACCAATATTACTCGTAGTGAAACTTATGAATACTGTACGTACTGTACTGTACTGTACTGTACTGTACTGTACGTACCTTATCGATCAGTTTTTTGAAAACCGAGCCATAATTACACTTGACATAATACTTTTGCCATAAGTAACACTTGCCATAAGTTACACTTGCCATAAGTAACACTTACCATAAGTTACACTTGCCATAAGTCACACTTGCCATAAGTCACACTTGCCATAAGTCACACTTGCCATAAGTTACACTTGCCATAAGTCACACTTGCCATAAGTTACACTTGCCATAATGGTTACACTTTTCATAATTACACTGGCTATAATTACTTTTGTCATAATTTTCGAATTTTTAAAAAGATGTAAATCTGTCTTTTTTATTGCAAATGCGGGAAATGCAACAACTATACACCTATGTAGCAAATGCATTGGGGACTGAGTTTACTAAATGACTTGTTGACTCGTTGTTTAGTTGACTTGTTGACTTGTTGACTTGTTGACTCATTGCTAATTCTAGGTTTAAGAGATTCAGAATATGTTTACTCACTCCAGTTTTATGAGATTCAAGAACACGCTTACTCATGGCTAATGAAATTCAGAGATATGTTTATTCCAGGTTTTTGAGATTAAGAAAATTTTTACTTTGTGCTTATGAGATTTTTGAGTTAGGGAATAATATTTCATAAAGATTATTTTTACTTCAGGTTTGTGAGATTATGTTTTATCCAGGTTTATGGGGTTCAAGATCAAATTAACTCCAGCTTATAATATGGTTTACTTCAGGTTTATGACATTCAAGATTATTTTTACTTCAGGTTTATAAGATTAAAGAATATGTTTATTCCAGAGATGAGATTTTAAAAGCTTGAACCCGACTAAAACCCGGTCTTTGCGTCTGCTTAGACTCAAGTAAAGCTCAAGTCAAGACCCGGGTTTTGGATGGCCTTGATTTTAGTAAGAACCAACCCTCTTGGGTTTTACTCTCTTTAAGGCTCAGGTCTTCAGCAACTGATGATTGTAAATTTTGTAAAAAATTTTACATTTGTACATTTAAAATCTCGGGAATTATTTGTGATGTCAAATTTTATTAATTATAATTTATTAATTAAATAATAATCAGGTTTATGAGATTAAATAATATGTTTCCTTCAGGTTTATGAGATTAAATAAAATGTTTCCTTTAGGTTTATGAGATTAAATAATATGTTTCCTTTAGGTTTATGAGATTAAATAATATGTTTCCTTCAGGTTTATAAGATTAAATAATATGTTTCCTTTAGGTTTATGAGATTAAATAATTTGTTTCCTTCAGGTTTATGAGATCGATCCGACCTATAGAGTGACGGTCAACACGGTTTTCGTGATGAATAATTTTAGTACTGATATGGATTTTATATGTTTAAAGTTTTAACTTCTTTTTAAGGCATATTTTCCTGCAACTAAAAAAAATGTTTGGTAAATTCCTTTTTTATTTCATATCAGATGGGGTCGTGGTAAGGTTAGTTTTTTTATTGTTTGAGTATAATTGCCCCCCCCCCCCCCAAAAAAAAAATGTTAAGGTGGTAAAACTTTTTTCAATCTCGCCTCATCCTAACAAAATGTCTATTTGCACGCCTGGCTTGGACAGGCTAGGGGACCGGGCGCTGCGGCCACTAGTCCATATAGCAGCTAACCACGTGCTAGTAGGTCGGAATGGATTTGGTGTAGGTCAGAAGTGGAGTATAGCGGATTTGCGTAGATCGAAAGACACACCATCTTTTAAACACCATAATCCTGATTGTCGTCTTAGTTTTTCTAGAAATAAGAAAATTGAAACTATCCTTGTTAGGAGAAATATCCACCTACCAGGGATTTTCCAATGGGGGTAAGGGATGCAAAAAAGTCACTGAAAAATTTTCTTCTTGTTTTATTGCGTATTCAGGTTTTTTTTCCCCAGGAAGGGCTAATATTTCTTTTTTTTAGGGGGGAGGCCTCTAGAATACGCCTCTAGATTATAACATAGATGTGTTTTAGAAATTTACAAGCATATTTCGGAATGGAGTGAGATTTAAAAGAACAAAACTAAGCAGTTTTAAAGATAAATTCCTATAGAATTAGAAATCTTTTCATGCAATTATTTCCGAATCAAATAAAACCTTATGGCCCAACCTGTCGTCGTTACCTTTGTCTGTTCCACTTTATTATTTATTCACTTTGGGACGGGATGCAGTTCGTTGTAGCTGGCCGGTTCTAGGTGCGAGGGTATACAATTCTGTATGACTTATAAATGACCACTTTACATTCCAAAATATAAAATAAAGGTTTAAAGGGAATAAAAAAAACTAACAGTTTTAAAGAGAGACAAAGGAATTGAGTTTTTGCCACAGACTGAGATTTTCTAATTCTTATAACTTAGCAACCCGTTTTCCTAGACCTTTGATTTTTCAAACTATTAATTCTGGCTGGTCAAATAGTCTAAGTTTGAAATATCAAAGGTTTACACTATCAGGTTGCAAAGATATAAGGGTTGACAATTTATGTTTGTTGCAAAAACTCAATTCCTTTCAGAGTGTATTTGAAAATCTCAAATATTCTTGTTGTAAAGTCTTCATTTAAGCGGAAAATAGGCAATATGATGATTAATGAATATATTCGCGCAATTAAAGTCACTTTATTCTTTAAGTCACTCGAATTATTTTTTTGTTACATCTTTTAAAAGCATTCCTTTTAAGGATTAATAATATCATACTGCAATGTAATCTGATAGAAGAGTGAATCATAATAATTCTATATTCGACCCACGACCACACTCTTCTAATTTATTTTTTTGTGACCACACTCTTCTAATTTATTTTTTCGTGACCACACTCTTCTAATTTATTTTTTCGTGACCACACTCTTCTAATTTATTTTTCGTGACCACACTCTTCTAATTTATTTTTTCGTGACCACACTCTTCTAATTTTTTTTTTCGTGACCACACTCTTCTAATTTATTTTTTCGTGACCACACTCTTCTAATTTATTTTTTCGTGACCACACTCTTCTAATTTATTTTTTCGTGACCACACTCTTCTTATTTATTTTTTCGAGCCATCATCTCCGCATACTTTTACTTGCAATTTCTTTTTAATTGACAACTCCTCAAAGCTAAGGCCCTTTTTTAAAACATCTAGGTACGTCAGGCCATACATATCAAATTTCGTAAATCTATTAAAATTTACAACCACTGTTTGATAAAGTAGTTTATATTATTGTGTATTGATGGACCTATTTAATAATTACTATTTACATATTGTTATAAGTAATTCAAGCAGATGTAAGCGTAAATTCAAATGACCCTCTATTCAAAGCCATGTTCGATTTACAACGGTATCCTTTAAACCTTTGACTGGTCATCGAGTGCAGAGAGCTCAGTGTGAAAATCTCTCGAATAATGGCTGAATTTCTTTGAAATCCAGTGCACGCTGAGTACAGTGTGTTGACACAGCTGATCCGTTTCTTGTGTCTATCGAAAAAATCGAATACTTTATGTTAAAAATGGTATTCTAAAATCGAATACTTTATGTTAAAAATGGTATTCTAAAATTTAAAAGTTAATTTTCATGTTCTGCTAATTCTATAATGTAACTATTAAACATATAAAATATATAATCAGTAGATTAATAAGGATGTGTAGCTGATATCCTTGATATGCTTAGTCACATGTTTAATGGGTAATGTTGTTAATTGTACATGCCACTCTGCTAGTGGAAGGACACTTGAAATTACGCCTGGAGTCTCCTTAATATTTGCTTTCAAGTCATAAAGTAACATGCACGAGCTATGAGTTTACGGTGGGAGAAGATACAGAAATAAACTTCTTAAATGAAAATGAATTTCTCAATATATTTTGTTATAAATCTTTCTTATAACAGAATTGACATAATTCGACCCAACTGAGCTCAATTTGGTAAATTTATTGATAAAACATCAGCAAGAGAGAAAATCCCAAAAACAGTATAGAAGAAACTATTTACTTGTCTCAAACTCTAGTTTTCCAATCATTGTTTCAATTTAAAATATAAATTCTGCTCGGTCAAATAGTTAAAGTTTGAAATATCAAAGGCTTGGAAACTGTTTAGATTTTGAGGCGACTAATAATTTTTTTTTTCAATCATAGATAGTTTAAACAGATAAAATAATAAACAGTCGATTAAGAAAAATTATAAAACTTTTTTTGGGACGCCCTACTAACAGACGTCATTTTGACACCATGTTATTTATTGTTCCCTAGAGGAGGTAAAAGGGGGGGGGGGTCTTTTTTAGTATATAAACCTAAAATATTGGATTTATAATACAGTTCCTTGGCATGACTTCTACCGTAAATACCCAGAGGTAATATTGTGCAAAGTAAAATGATCAAATTCAAAGAAATTAGATATTTTTTGTTAAGTTCGAAAAAAACTAATTTACTAATTCTACTAATTCACTAGAAACGGCAAACAGGTTGGATAATGTCATCAAAAATCGAAACTACTTTAAAATTTTTGTTTGATTTCCAAAGAAAATTAAATATTCCTTTGCAAACAAACAACTCTCAAACTTAAAAATGTTTTAGGATCTCAGCTTTACTGTTTCTGGTATTTTCATTTCTAGATGTAATTATCTGCAATGAGGAAAGTTTTCAAACAATATTTTTTAACATTTTCCTGTAAAAAAGCTTATATATTTTCCTGTAAAAAAGCTTATATATTTTCCTGTAAAAAAGCTTATATATTTTCCTGTAAAAAAGCTTATACATTTTCCTGTAAAAAAGCTTATACATTTTTTATTATTTGTTTAAAACCTTCGAATGAACAGGAAGCAGTCGCGCAAATAGGTCCGGAACATATGGTGGACGATAGGTAAACTATGTTTTTCTTTTAAAATATATATTTAAAATATATATTTTAAATACAGGGGAAATTATATTCCGTTCGGTTTCTGGTTCCGAGGGAATCCCTTGTTTCCAGAATCTGGTCCTAATCCTAAAAAGGTATAATTTACTTTAAGCTATCCAGCTTTCTGTCTATCACCTAACCTTAAGCTATCTATCTTTCTGTCTTTCACCGAACTTTAAGCTATCTATTCTATATATCTTTATCTATATATTTATATAAAAGGTATAATTTACTTTAAGCTATCTAACTTTCTGTCTTTCACCTAACTTTAAGCTATCTATCTTTGTGTTTATCAAATAACTTTAAGCTATCTATCTTTCTGTCTTTCACCGAACTTTAAGCTATCTATCTTTTTGTTTATTAAATAACTTTAAGCTATCTATCTTTCTGTCTTTCACCGAACTTTAAGCTATCTATCTTTCTGTTCATCAAATAACTTTAAGCTATCTATCTTTCTGTCTTTCACCGAACTTTAAGCTATCTAACTTTCTGTTTATCAAATAACTTTAAGCTATCTATCTTTCTGTTTATTATATAGCTTTAAGCTTTCTACCTTTCTAGCTATCATCCAACTTCCTCATACTGAACTAGACATAAGTAGAAGGTTAAAGTTATGCAACATTAGTGGCAGACCTTTGCAACCTCGTAGCTCCTCTGGTTTTGATTTTAAGCACAATTATTTGAGAATTTATCTGGTTACATTATACTAGAAATATAAAACATTTCTGCTCTTCTAAATAGCCCCTCAATAAAATAAGTTCTGATTGAAAACATATAATATTTTAATATCACATGCAATATACTTTAGTTTGACGTGATCTCCGTAATCTGTTCTTCTATCTAATTTCTATTGTTGTTGAAATATCTAATTTGTGATTAGCGCAGACAACTTCGAGAAATATTTTTCGTCTTCTTAAGAAAAGTTTTTCTACATTTAAAAAAGTTATATCTATATCTATATCTATATCTATATCTATATCTATATCTATATCTATATCTATATCTATATTTATATCTATATCTATATCTATATCTATATCTATATCTTTATCTATATCTATATCTATATCCATATCTATATCTATATCTATATTTAAATCTATATCTATATCTATCTATGTAATTATCTAGTCTCTCAGTTCTGGAAGAAGTATACGAGCAATTCCAGGCAGTTTTGATGAAATGTAAGTAATTATATATTTCTAATAAATTCACACTTGTATCTATAACTTGATGTTTGATGAGGATTGTTTTGGACAAAAAAACAGCTTTTATACTTCTATTTTGATATGAATGGAGCTGTCACACGATATTATCTATATAAAAAAACAAGACATTCGTATATATATATATATATATATGTTGCGTATAGCAGGCCAAACGGATGGACCTTTTGGGCTGAAATTTTTTGTGGACACTCATGGATGGGAGTGTTATATGCTAAAAAAAAATTTTTTTCACGGGCAACGCCGGGCCCTTCATTTAGTATTTATTAATTCAACTTGCTCAAAGTTTAGTGTTCTGTGGTAAACGGGTTTCATCAAATTCTCTTTGCAAAGACATCGTATCGAAATAAAAAAGATTTCTACCGCACGACACAAAATTTGATTTTAATTCTGTTTCTCCCATTTTTAGTTAATAATAAAAGTTTTTTTGTTTTGTTTGCAAGGCTCCAGGTGAACAGTCCACTAGACCAGGCTGACCAAGGGTGGAACAAGGGTGGTGACCAGGTTGACCAGCGGGTGGCCTGGAACAAGAGCAGTGACCAGGTTGACCAGCGGGTAGCCTGGAACAAAGCCATTAAACAACAAATGGTTATTTCATCTATGATCAGGTTATTTTTAGTTTTATATAAAGGTAATGTAAAATTAGTTAAGTTTAAAGGGAGTGTTGGTGAATAATAAAAGGAATATTGGCTGAATGATATTTAAATTTAAAATCGGTCGCTACCAGTCTACCTTCTTTTAAATGCGTTTGTAATAAGTTCGTAATGAGTTTGTAATAAGTTTGTAATAAGTTTGTAATAAGTTTGTAATAAGTTTGTTATAAGTTTGTAATAAGTTTGTAATAAGTTTGTAATAAGTTTGTAATAAGTTTGTAATTAGTTTGTTATAAGTTTGCAATAAGTTCGTAATAAGTTTGTAATAAGTTTATAATGAGTTTGTAATAAGTTTGTAATGAGTTTGTAATAAGTTTGTAATAAGTTTGTAATAAGTTTGTAATAATTTTGTAATAAGTTTGTAATAAGTTTGTATTAAGTTTGTAAAAGTTTGTAATAAGTTTGTAATAAGTATGTAATGAGTTTGTAATAAGTTTGTAATGAGTTTGTAATACGTTTGTGATAAGTTTGTAATAAGTTTGTAATGAGTTTGTAATGCGTTTGTAATAAGTTTGTAATGAGTTTGTAATAAGTTTGTAATAAGTTTGTAATAAGTTTTTAATAAGTTTGTAATGAGTTTGTAATGCGTTTGTAATAAGTTTGTAATGAGTTTGTAATAAATTTGTAATAAGTTTTTAATACGTTTTTAATAAGTTTTTAATAAGTTTTTGATAAGTTTTTAATAAGTTTTTAATAAGTTTGTAATAAGTTTGTAATAAGTTTGTAATAAGTTTGTTATAAGTTTTTAATAAGTTTGCAATAAGTTCGTAATAAGTTTGTAATAAGTTTGTAATGAGTTTGTAATAAGTTTGTAATGAGTTTGTAATAAGTTTGTAATTAGTTTGTTATAAGTTTGCAATAAGTTCGTAATAAGTTTGTAATAAGTTTGTAATGAGTTTGTAATAAGTTTGTAATAAGTTTGTTATAAGTTTGCAATAAGTTCGTAATAAGTTTGTAATAAGTTTGTAATAAGTTTGTAATAAGTTTTGTAATAAGTTTTTAATAAGTTTGTAATAAGTTTGTAATAAGTTTGTAATGAGAAATTGTAAAATGATTTTGGGTTCAGCTGCTGTATTGAAACTTGCAACGGAAATTTAATGGACTAATCACCACTCAACAGTGATTTAAATGTTGCAATATCTGACGCAAAAATCAAAAAGAATCTTTGCTATTAACTTTTTAAATAAGTGCTTTATTGATCTTAATTTTCTAGGATTACAAAAAGTATAAGTGAGTGATGTAAAATAAAAAGGCCAAGGCGTTGCGACACTAAAATGTCGACCCAATCTTGAACATTGATGCAACTTTTAGAGCAGTCTGGATCTATGTGCTTCACTGTAAGCGATTAACGTTTGAAATAAATTTCTTATGACTGATTACCGACGCAAAAGAAAGAAGCAAGGTTAATAGCGATCGATCCCCCATTCATTTTCACGAACACTCCCTTTGACAGGATACTTTTTTTGAATTATTATTATTATTGCTATTGTTATTATTAAAACAATTGTTTTTATAATTATGTTATTATTATTATTATTATTATTATTATTATTATTATATTTATCAATATAATGAAACAAGACATTCGTTTATATATATGTTGCGTATAGCAGGCCAAACGGCTGGACCGAATGGGCTGAACTTTGTTGTGGACTCTCATGGGTAGCCTGGGGGTGCCTATAGGCTAAAAAAAAATTTTTTTCACGGGCAACGCCGGGCCCTTCATTTAGTATTTATTAATTCAACTTGCTCAAAGTTTAGTGTTCTGTGGTAAACGGATTTGTATCCAATAAACGTCAAAACGACTGAACCGATCGGGCCCAAATTTTGTGTAGGACATCACGTGACCACAGGGAAGGTTTATGAATGATCAAAATTTCAAATATTTGTCTCCATCAAAATTCGATCTTCATTAAATTTTTGAAAAGTTTGAAAATCCACGAAATTTTTTGTGAAAATCCGCGAATTATTTTTGTTTCGTTTTACGATGTACACAAAAAGAACACAATTAATTTAGAAGATGGGCGCGAAGCGCCCTCTAAGGCTTGTAATTAAAGTTACTCTACAGTGGAGGGTGACACATAAATTAATATCTTCCAGGGACCTCATAACTCTTTTCAAACTCTAATTTTTAAATTTTATTTCTTTACAATCTGATATCGTAGATTAAAAAAAATTCAAACAATGAATTCTACTAAATCAAGTGCTAACGGTTTGAAATATTAAAGGTTTGCAAATTTATGTTGCAAAGATATAGAGATTAGAAAACTAGAGTTTTTTTGCGAGTTGTCAGATTCTTTCCACAGTCCACACTCATTTGAATCAACTGCTATCAAGGATCCTAGTCTTGCATATCTACTCTTGAATATACTTTATAAATAATGAATCCTTTCAATACTATAGACCTGGTTCTCCTCCTGGCTTTGATTCGAAACCTCTCCGCAACCCTAGGATTATTTTATCCTAGGTTCCTCATATCTGTGAAAAAAGGTTTGGAGAATGATATTTTTTAACATATTGTGTAATGGGACGAGACAAACAAGATATTTTTCTTATTCCGAAAGATTTAGGTTAGTAAACGTTGATAACTTGTTTAGTGGAAATAAAATTAAATATAATAATAAAATAAAATTTAAATTCCTTATTTAACAGTACTAAGATTACAATGTTGCTTTTTGATAGAAAAGTTTAGATTTTAAGTCACCATTTTCAGCTAAATTCTCTGTTTAAATTGTATCCAAAGTTGTATGATCATTATGTGTAAAAAATCGGTTTTTATGTTTTAGACTGAGGACTATTAAGAGGCTTTATACCTGAATTCTGCATTTAAAATAAGAATCTTTTAAGAATGATAAAAAAGTGATGTGTTTAATTGATTCAAGTGAAAATATTTTTGATAAATGCTTTATTTATTGACCTGGCACACACGGATAGTGGAGGGCTGGGGTGCTTATGGTAAAAAAAAGGATATTGTTCAGAAATCCAATTCACTTGAAAACCTGTATTTAGTAATTATGCAACCCCTACTTGTATTTATGTTCATCTCAATAAAATGATATTTAAACAATTATAAATTTATGGTCTAAATTTTTGTATCACACGCTTTTTTCTTTTTTTTTCTTCAAATTTTAGACCAAGATCGGTTTTTGCGTGCCACTGCAACAACTGACAAATAGCTCTAGAAAAATCTGAAGAAAAAAATTTGTAATTTATAAGGCATTAAAAAAATAGTAAGTACTAGGTAGATAGATTAATTCATAGATGAGATAGGAAGGTTATTAATCTAGTTACTAATGTGTGTCTTTGGTAGAAGATCATAATTAATCAAAATTTCTCCCATTGTCGTCATAAAAAAACAACATTAAGAAAATATCGCTGTTTTTATTTCGTAAGATGATAATTTTCCACATTTCAGTCTTCTTCACTCTGCACACGTTTGTTATAAGTTTGTAATAAGTTTTGTAATAAGTTTTTAATAAGTTTGTAATAAGTTTGTAATAAGTATGTAATAAGTTTGTAATAAGTTTTTAATAAGTTTGTAATAAGTTTGTAATAAGTTTGTAATAAGTTTGTAATAAGTTTGTAATAAGTTTGTAATGAGAAATTGTAAAATGCATTTGGGTATATATATATATATGTTGCGTATAGCAGGCCAAACGGCTGGACCGAATGGGCTGAACTTTGTTGTGGACTCTCATGGGTAGCCTGGGGGTGCCTATAGGCTAAAAAAAAATTTTTTTCACGGTCTATAGATATACCACGATTTGTACTCATTTTTCTATAGCGGGGATATTCCATCTTTAACTTTTGTGCATAAACTAGACAATAACCTTTACTAATTTGATTTCCTTTGTGTTTTTTTTTTATCAAGTTTCCCCAGGGGGTGGAAACGTCATGTGTGTGTCTGTACCAAAAGAGTGTGTGTAAAGTNCTACACTCTACACTCTACACTCTACACTCTACACTCTACACTCTACACTCTACACTCTACACTCTACACTCTACACTCTACACTCTACACTCTACACTCTACACTCTACACTCTACACTCTACACTCTACACTCTACACTCTACGCTTTACACTTTTCAAAAAAATAATTCTAGATTACTTTACAAACTTCATTTTCGTCATACAAGAGCTATTTCTTCAAATTTATCAAAACAGTTTTCTCTTTTTCTGGTTCATTCCTTTTAACCATTAGAGGAGCATGAAGGGTGAAAGGAGCTGAATGAAAAAGAAATGAATCCAATTGAATTCTTCATTTAGATTTTTAAAAAATCACTATCTGTTGAAAACTTTATTCTGATAAAATATAAGCTTAAGAAATAAATTCATAAAAATAAAGATTTGATGCCAAAGTATGATTGAATAGCTGGGCAGGACACCGAACTACCACTGCACCGATTCAAATCCTCATAAATCTTTAAATTTGGACCTAGCTGATTTTATCCAAGTTCGGTCCCAGTGCTTTCACAGTTACTCACAAAAAACGACTTTGAAGACGACATTCTATAAATAAAATTTGTTCTGTGTATCAGAGTTTAATTTTTCATTAATTTATTCAATTTCCCCAAGTGTATTTTCAATAAACTTGACAATTTAACGACGACATACAATATAGTTTTAAATATGAATTTGAAACAGTTCACAACCCTTTTTTTTCTAAAATCTTCTTTACGAACAATTCAAATAAACCTTTTGCTCAACTGTCACTGGATATAAAGTGTGCATTTATTATATAAACTTGGTCGATTTTTAAATGTCATGTTTATTGGGACCAACTGAACTGCTTAATGTTTGGTACATATGATACCGTATATTCTGCTGAAGGTTCATGGTTGAATTCATATCTTCAAATAAATACAAACCATGCAGGGTAACCTTAGCAGTAAGTTTTACCAGTTTACCACTTGTAAGAATTGTGGTTTGAAGCTTGGTTTATTAGACGCACGCTTTGAATCAATTTACATATTGATGTCAGGGAAAATAATAATTTGTTAAACATATTTGCAATTTTAGAACAGGCCTAACCCCGATGCCCCCTAGTCCGCAATGTTCCCATGTCTAATAATAATTGAGAAATATATTAGACAAATTAAACAGGAAAGATATTAAAGCAACAGTATAGGTGAGATGAAACAGAAGGAATAAAAGGAACGGAAGGAAAGAAGAAGGCTGAGAAATAGGTGGAGGAAAAGGAACGGAAGGAAAGAAGAAGGCTAAGAAAGAGGAAGGAATAAAAGGAACGGAAGGAAAGAAGAAGGCCGAAAAAGAGGCGGAGGAAAAGGAATAAAAGAAAAGAAGAAATAAATAAAGAGATTAATCAGAAGGCGAGCAAGTAAAAGAAACGAGAAAGGAAAATGAAAAAAAGAAGAGGACGAAGAGAAGAAAGCTAGGTTCAGGGAACAAGAGAAAGATGCAGTAGAAAGAAGAAAAAGTGTGATAAGAAGAAGGAGAGAGAAGGAAGAACAATAACTAAGAAGATTAGATCGAAAGAAAAAAAAGAACATAATGCGACAAGTAAGCTAGAGGAAGAACGAGATGGAAATTTAGTAAAAGAAGAAGGGGGGGGGGGGAAGGAAAGCTATATAACATCCCTTCTGAAGTATATTACATGATAGCAGAACCCTCCACTCATAGTTTTCCTCCTACATATGTCATAAGATACCTGTACAGATGTCCTCACAGTTTATAATTAATTTATTAATTTATAATTTCCATGTGAACTTTTCTATCCATCAATCAATATCAATTTATCTACGGGATGGATGGGATGAAAGGTTCTGACGAAGCACAAACTGGATGAGCTACATAGATTTAGGGATAAGGGTAAATAATATGGATGTATGGATGGGATGGATAGATATAGATAAAGGAGGGTAGAGGGGAACAGGATGGGATAGATATAGATATAGATAAAGGAGGGTAGAGGGGTACAGGATGGGATGGATAGATATATAGATAAAGGAGGGTAGAGGGGTACAGGATGGAATGAATATAGATAGATAAAGGAGGGTAGAGATAGAGATGGATAGTTTGGATGAATGCTGAAGATGCATGGATAATATGGATGGATATAGGGAGAATAATATGGATGCATATAAGGAGGATAATCTGGATAGATATAAGGAGGATAATATGGATGTATATAAGGAGGATAATCTGGATGCATAAAAGGAGGATAATATGGATGCATAAAAGGAGGATTAGATGGATGGATACAAATAGGATAATATGGACGGATATAAAGAGGATAATGAAAATATGCATGTAGTTACCCAGGTTGAATGGATGGTTATAGTTCAAGGATAATAGGATACTGAAATGTACAAATAGGGGATATTTCTTGAATGGCTGGATTATATGAAGGAATGTTATAGATTTATGACCATTATGGATAGCATAAATGGATAGTATAGATTGGATGGATTGTATGGATGGATGGATGGATGATATGGATGGATGATTATCTACCTGAATCTAAGTTTAAACAGATCAGTTATATTCTGCTCCCCGCGGGCTAAACAAATTCTCATTCAGTTACTGTAGTGTCTTTAACAAATCGTTACTGCAGTGTCTTTAACACTTCGTAACTGTAGCGTCTTTACACTTTGTTACTGTAGTGTCTTTAACCCTTCGTTACTGTAGTTTCTTTAACCCTTCGTTACTGTAGTGTCTTTAACACTTCGTTACTGTAGTGTCTTTAACACTTCGTTACTGCAGTGTCTTTAACACTTCAATACTGTAGTGTCTTTAACACTTCGTTACTGTAGTTACAATGGCACATCCTTACTGTAGTTACAATAAGACATCCTTACTGTAGTTACAATAAGATATCGTTACTGTAGTTACAATAAGACATCCTTACTGTAGTTACACTAAGATATCGTTACTGTAGTTACAATAAGACATCGTTATTGTAGTTACAATAAGACATCCTTACTGTAGTTCCAATAACACATCCTTACTGTAGTTCCAATAAGACATCCTTACTGTAGTTCCAATAAGACATCCTTACTGCAGTTCCAATAAGACATCCTTACTGTAGTTACAATAACACATCCTTACTGCAGTTACAATAACACATCCTTACTGTAGTTCCAATAAGACATCCTTACTGCAGTTCCAATAAGACATCCTTACTGTAGTTCCAATAAGACATCCTTACTGTAGTTCCAATAAAACATCCTTACTGTAGTTCCAATAAAACATCCTTACTGCAGTTACAATAACACATCCTTACTGTAGTTACAATAAGACATCCTTACTGTAGTTCCAATAAGACATCGCTTACTGTAGTTCCAATAACACATCCTTACTGTAGTTACAATAAGACATCCTTACTGTAGTTCCAATAAGACATCGCTTACTGTAGTTCCAATAACACATCCTTACTGTAGTTCCAATAAGACATCGCTTACTGTAGTTACAATAACACATCCTTACTGTAGTTCCAATAAGACATCCTTACTACGGTTACAATAAAATAAAAAATAAGTTACTGTTTTAAAAAAAAAAATGTAAAAAATCAAGTAACAACATAAGTAACACCATTAAGTTACTGTTGTAGAAACATTTTTGTTCTACAATAGAACGACTATTACTATTTAGTTTAATGCTGTAGAAATATCAAGTTACTCCAGTAATACCAATTTTGCTGATTTAGTAAGAAACATTAAAGATAGTCACTGCAAGCAAAGGTTGTAATATTTCATGATTAAATATGTTTATTCCTTGATGCATAAGTTTCAAAACATTGATTCTTAGTAATTAACGGGTCCAAGCGTATTATGTAGATTTTTAGTAGACTCCTATCATGCTATTCCGGAAAAATCATATTTCAACCTAGTTGTTCAATGAATGGTAATAAAAGATTTAAAAAATTACATTTTCTCGAATTTCCGGGCAAAGTACATTGCATAAACGAAAAATTTAAAACGGAAAGGGAAAAGTATTAACTTATGAAAATTGACACAATTGTAATATTTTGATTGACACTTTTTTATTTGATATTTGAAAAATTGGAACACGTTTTAGAAATCGAATACATCAAAAATGTCAAATTCTGTTTC